TGAAAAAAGCACAAATGTGAGGGCATGTCAAAACTTCTCCAGGGCGCCAAAACACCCTCGGACCCCAGAGGGTTTTTTTACTCCCTAATATCGGTATCGGCCCCAAAAAACCCATATCGGTCGGGCTCTACTACTTATGACTGCTTTTGTGCTCCAGGGACACATATTTCACCATCATACAATCACTGCAGACGTACGCACCATCTTGCTGGAGACGGCCGAGCTGTAGGCCAGACTGAGCGAGCGCACAGACGGACCGACGGCGGGCAGCAGGTTCTGGACGATCCCATTCAGCAGCCTCTTCTCTCTCTGAACTGCACTAATGTCTGGAGACTCCTCCGCCGCCGCCTCTGAACACACAGAATAACACACGGCTGAGCTAAGGCCCGCAGGATCATGGGAAGGGCAGCTCTGAGCGGCGTGGCGAGGTGAGGCTCACCTGATTCATCCACGTCTGCGTCCTCGTCCCACTCCTGATAGGCTCGTCCCTCGTCCTGCAGACTCTTCACCCAATCCTCATCCGGCTCCTGGTCCGACTCGCCCGGAGGACCGCAGTAATAGTCCCCTACACACAGTTAACTCATCAGATCACACTGTGTGGGATACTGTATCCCACAATGCAACGTACTCAATTTAATCTTTAATTGATTTAACTAGATTAAAAATGTAAAATAACTCGTGACCTTTATTTGACCCTCTAACTCTAGCACTCTCTATTCTAATTCTATTGTTTAAAAAAAAAAAGTGCCTCTTTTAGACTTGCACTCTATTTACAAACTGCTGCTCTATTCTTTTTCTATTCTATCTATTTTCTTTTTATTTATTATTTAATTAAAAAAAAAACTTGCTAGGTGTGCTGCGTTAAGCTAACTTGAGACTTGTTATATAACTTGTTATAGTATATCATTGCTCTCTTGTTGGTTTTGATTGCTTCTATTGTACTCATTTGTAAGTCGCTTTGGATAAAAGCATCTGCTAAATGACAAAAAATGTAAATGTGACAAAAATGCAGTCTTTTATAAGTAATTATAAAAGTAAAATTTATTTTTTTTAAATAATAATAATAATAGTTTAAATAATTGTACTACTACCGTTTTTAATAGAAGTTTTATAATGAATCAAAACGAATTATAAAAATAATTCATTTAAGTTTTAGAATTAATTATGAAATTATGAAAATAATTTTTAAATGGTTTTAATTCATTGGTCCATATTATGGAATTGGAAAAATATTTTTTTAATAAAAAGGTAATAACTTCCTTACTCTAAAAAGTTCCGTTTACACCAATGACGATAACTATAAAGATAACGATAAAGATATTGTTCTAAAAATCGTTCTCTTAAAGATAAATAAGTAATTATAAAAGTAAAATTTATTTTTTTTAAATAATAATAATAATAGTTTAAATAATTGTACTACTACCGTTTTTAATAGAAGTTTTATAATGAATCAAAACGAATTATAAAAATAATTCATTTAAGTTTTAGAATTAATTATGAAATTATGAAAATAATTTTTAAATGGTTTTAATTAATTGGTCCATATTACGGAATTGGAAAAATATTTTTTTAATAAAAAGGTAATAACTTCCTTACTCTAAAAAGTTCTGTTTACACCAATGACGATAACTATAAAGATAACGATAAAGATATTGTTCTAAAAATCGTTCTCAATATTAAAGATAACACCACAGCTATAACGATAAAGGCACAGAGAAACGATATCGTTGGAATCACTTTCAGAACGATTTTTCCAGCTGATGAACGATACAAACATTGACAGCCAATCAGAATCAATCCTGCTGTAACGAGCTCGAGAATTTAAAGTGACAGACGCGCATGCGCTTAGAATAAACAGACGATATCGTCCGCTGGTGTGGACGCTAATATCTTTATAGTTATCGTTCTTGGTGTGAATGGGGCTTAAATCAGTGCTATTGGTCATCGTTATGTCTGTTTGTGGGTTTTACAAACATTTAACCAAGCATTCAAAAGAGCTTGTGACTAAACCTCGTAACGCCATTGGATCCTCAAATTGTCAGTCAAACCTCATAACTCCACCCTTAAACCCTTTACTCAAGAACTGTCTAGAAAGGCTAATGTTTTTGTGTGTTTGAAGTGTTTGCCATCTAGTTGTAGCCAATATACTTTTGTATGTATTAAATATCCTGTGCATAGCGGTTCATCTTTTATATCATGAGATTTTGGCCAAATGTATTAAACAACAAGAAAAACTGAGCGTCCATATAGCTACAATAAACTTCATAACCTGTAAATGGATGAAAACGTTATGCGACAAAACACTACCTCCGTCATTCACTTTTCAAAAACCTTGTTAACTCCATTTGAGCATGATTTTCAGAAAATGTTAAGTGCAAGCGTCTGATCATATATAAAGCCAAAATACCAACTGTGACGACACATTGTTTAATTATTGGAAACCTAAAAATAACCTCTAAATAACTCCACTGATCAAGTGCGGTCACAAGAGGGCGACAAAGTGACACAAAATTGAAATTTACAATATTTATGTTCTGTTTATTTATTTTTTTTATTAAGTTACTGTGAATGATCCATCTGTGGTAGAGCTGCTTGATTATGATAATTATAATTACAATAATTTTGATAAATACTGAGATCACAATTATTTATCAAAAATTTTATTTAAAGCAGTATCATCTAATACTATAATAATGCAAAAAATTTAATAAAATAATAATAATAATAAAATAAAATAGTTGAATATACAATGAATACTAAAAAAAATTATAAAATCACACAAAACATAATAAAACATAGAATTAAAGTTCTTACAAAATGACAACTACATTAAAAATAAAATATATTTCAAAAGAAAATAGTTATTTTAAAGTGCAATAATATTTCACAGAAAAAATTTAAATTTTTTTTTTTTTTTTTTTTAAATCAAATAATATTTAATATTTCATTAAAAATAACTTTTTTTAAACTCAGAAGGGGGCAACAAAGTGGCATGAAATATTTTTTTATTATTTATTGTGTTTCTAGTTTTATTGCGCAATTATGGTAAAAATCATAATTATGATTATTCTAGTCAATATCGAAATCATAATTTTATTTAATCATTGCTTTTGGAAACATGCATTTATTTGATAACTTTAAATATAATTCAACTGAAAAACAAATGAAAATTGATAACTAAATCAAATAATAATAAATATTATATATTTTATAGATATAATATATATTTAAATTAATATTGTAGAGTGTATAAATAAATACATAAACACTATACAAACATGATTAATAAATTCATAATGAAATGTAATTCCAGCTCATTATATTTATGTCGAAAGGTTAGATTATTAATTGAATGTCAGGGGACACTATAAATAAATAATAAAAAAATAAAAAATAAACAAATAAAAAAGGTATTCGACTTAGAAAATCATATGAAAAAAAAAGACAAAACAAAACAACAAAATAAAATGAATCATAATTATGATTATTCTTGTCAATATTGAAATCATGATTTTATTTAATCACTGCTTTTGGAAACATGCATTTATTTGTATTAAATAATTCAACTGAAAAACAAATAAAAATAAATGCGATAACTAATAAATAGATTCTATAAATATAATATTTAAATAAATAATCTAAAACTAGTAAATAAACATAAACGAGATCAAAATGAGTTTGTAGAGCTTAAAGGGGCCAAAACGTTTTGATCATATATCAATATAACTATACAATAATAGTCATACCAATAGTATAATAATACTACTACAGAACCGTGCTTCACTGAAAGATACGCATGACAATCGCAGCTTCTGTCTAATCGCGATCTCCATTCCATTTCGATTTATCGTGCAGCCCTACTACTACTACTTCTAATAATAATATACATTTAGTCATTCTGCAGACGCTTTTATCCAAAGCGACTTACAAATATACAGTAGAACTGTTATTATTACAATTATTATTATTATTATTATACAGTAAAACTACAATATACTAATATTTATGGCTATACTTAATTACCTTATTTGTAGAATCTAAACCCTTTTGTGGATGTTTGTTTGTTTGTTTGTGTTTAACGCCATTCCAACTTCCGTAGCTATTTACATGGCAAGAAATATTATGGCTGAATTATGTCATGTTTTTATAATTAATTTTTGCTAAAAACTGTATGTGGCTTAATGGTGTTAAAAATCTCTTCAAAAGAGTTAACTGAATAAAAAAAGTTCTCTCAAAGAGTTAAAACCAGCACAATCTAATAAAACATGCTTAATGGATAAAGCGATCTTCTCCAAGTATTGAAAACTTGTGTCATCCTGGAATGACCTTTTCTACAGCGGGTTTAAACTATCTGCTCCCATTGGTTAGAGAATTGATAGAACATTATTTTTCCAGCATTGGGGCTAATGTGGTGGAGTTTCCTCTTCTGTGGCTGATGTCTGTGCGGTTCACTCACCGTCCTCGGTCTTCTCGTGGTCGGAGTATTTGAAGGCCTTGCGCAGCTCCTCGGCGTGGCTCCACAGGTTCAGGCCCTTCAGCAGGTCTGCGGCGGAGCTCCACGAGCGATTACTGCAGTGCTGCAGCATCACCTGCCGCTTGATGGCCTTCAGCTCCTCGTACGTGAAGTACTCCATCAGCATGGGCTGATACACCTGAGGACACACGCACAAACATCAGACAGAAACACACACCACTGCAGGGCTCCAGTCTAACACTGAAGAGCAGTGAAAGATAATTTAATCATAAAAACACTAATGTTTTGCATTAACAAGTGCAGTTACTAATAATATTGCATGCTTATTTCTTGGTAACGTACATTTGACTGAATGTAAAGCACTGAGCTTGAGTTGGGAGGCATACAAAATTTACTTTTATTAACAACGGTACTGTGCAAATCACTTTTATATGAAAAAATAAAGCAATAAGCCCCGTGAAGCCGTGGTTTACAGTGAATTTATTACAGCTTAAAGCTTATTGCTTTTATAAAACGGTTATTCCATATACGTAGTTAGGTTTCACAAAATAAAACAGAGCAAATAAAGTGTAATGATATTAATAAAAACAGTATTCTTCCACCAAACAATGTAGTTCCTCAGAAACAGTTGTGGTTGCAACAAAGTGGTTGCCGAGCAACACACAAACGTAAACAAAGGTGTATGTTACTTTGTAGTAATTTACAACAGCTTCGAACGCGGCTCAGCCAATCAGAATCAAGGACCGGAACTCTCCGTTTTATAATATATATTCTACTCTCATTAAATGTACCATTATTCTTGTTATAGCATTATACGGAATTATACGGTTATAAAAGGAACGCTCTTTACTTTGTGTGATTCAGTCACAAATTGAACAAAAGTTTGTTTGTTTTTTTTACTCAAGGCACTTTGTGACTTTTCTTACTTCATACACATGAAAAGTGCAAAACTTTGACAATTTCATTTCTTGATGATTTGATATTTTATAATACCAAAATATAAAGCAAAAAGAAAAGTGGAAATAAATGACTAATACTCAGTAAGTGCTCCTCTGCTGCCATCTACTGGTTATCGTGGTAATTTGATGTCTTTTTTACATTTTATTTTAAACAAGTGTTTGTTTACCACAAACATTATTAAACAGTATTTTGGTCATCCCATGAAAAAAAAACATTTAAATTGGTTAATTTCTCAATGACAATTTCTATACAATTTAGAACAATTTCTCTCTGAAAAGGTTGTACAAACATTTGATCGCAGTCTGGAGCCACACGTCATTAGAGAACGCACTTTTAACTACAGCAGTGACCAGATCCAGTAAACAGAGGTTTCTAGGGGGCCACTGCACAATTAAAGTAAATTATATAGTATAAGTTAAGTAAATTGATACAAAAAAAAAAAATACTAATAATATTTTTATTCTTTAATGATGTTTTAAATTGCTCAAAAGTGACATTTATAATGTTACAAAAGATTTATATTTCAAATAAATGCTGTTCTTTTGAACTTTCTGTTCATCTGTGAATCCTGAAAAATAAAATGTATCACAGTTTCCACAAAAATATTGTGCAGCACAACTGTTTTCAACATTGATAATAATCAGAAATGTTTCTTGAGCAGCAAATCAGCATATTAGAATGATTTCTGAAGATCATGTGACACTGAAGACTGGAGTAATGATGCTGAAAATACAGCTGCGCATCACAGAAATAAATTACAGTTTAACAGATATACACATAGAAAACAGGTGGTTTAAATTGTAATAATATTTCAGAATTTTTACTGTATTTTTGATCAAATAAATGCAGCCTTTGTAAGCAGAAGAGACTTAAAGAAAATGTAAAAAATGTTGCAGAACCCAAACTTTGGAAGGTTGGTGTATATTTTAGAAATAAATAAAAATTAAAACAATCAAAATATAACACTGGTATTATATACAAACATGACTAATACATTTATAATAAAACTTAAAGACTCATTATTTTTGCTGAAAGTTTAATTGATAATTAATTAATAATTGATTGACTTTAAAATAAAATAAAATTAAATTAAATCACAGGGAATGAGCTTACAGAATCGTATGATATGCCTATAAAGTATTATTAGTATTTTTAAATATTAGTATTAGTATTATTAAATATTATTAAAATAAAATAAAATAAACAGGGATTCAGCTTACAGAATCATATGGTACACCTCTAAAGTATTATAAAGTATTATTAATTGAATCTCAGGAGATACTTTAAAATAAAATAACAAAAAATGAAATACAAAAACAATAAAATAAAATAAAGGAAATCAAAACAAATAAAACAAAACAAAATTAAATTAAATCACAGGGAATGAGCTTATAGAATCGTATGATATGCCTATAAAGTATTATTAGTATTTTTAAATATTAGTATTAGTATTATTAAATATTATTAAAATAACAAACAGGGATTCAGCTTACAGAATCATATGGTACATCTATAAAGTATTATAAAGTATTATTAATTGAATCTCAGGAAATACTTTAAAATAAAATAACAAAATAATGAAATAAAATAAATAAATAAATGAAAATAAAATAAACAGGGATTCAGCTTACAGAATCATATGGTACACCTATAAAGTATTATAAAGTATTATTAATTGAATCTCAGGAGACACTTTAAAATAAAATAAAATAATGAAATAAAAAAAAAATAACAAAATAAAATGAAAATAAAATAAAATAAAATAAACAGGGATTCAGCTTACAGAACTGTATGATACACCTTAAAAGTAATCCTGGCCAATTTGAATAACATCTGAAGTAATTCAGACACGTATTTTGTGTTATGTGTAAATTTGTGAACAGTAATATAAATGGAAACAGAGCTGCTGGTGCTCTAATGTAACATCAGTCTCACCTCCTCTTCCTCCTTCATGTGAGGAAGGAAGTCCTGGGTAAAGGCCTCCAGCCTCTCCTTCAGCTGCTGCGCGTAATTCAGCTGCTCGCACTCGCTCTGAAACACATGCATTCACCAGTCATCTCTTAATAAACGAGCGTGCTCCTGAGACACGCGAGCACATTCACTCTCCAGACCGATAGCACTGAGAAACACAGTGTGCAGATGATTTCATAACTGCAGTTATTATTATAAGCCTGCTGCTTACAGACACTCAATATCTTCATTCTTGCCATTTTCCGGACAGGAACTCGGAGCAGGATTTCCCAATGCCTTGTAAATAATCGAGTGGAAAATTTGGCAAGTTTGGCCTGACATGTCCAAATGGACTTTGCCATCGAAGACTAAAACCTTTTGGATGATTCAGAACAGCAGTTTTGTTTAAATATATTTTTTAAAAAAATTACAGTATTTTATCTTGACGCCCACTTAAAATATACATAATATAGTTTCTTATAATAATTTTAAAAGTTTATCCATTACCATTTTTCCAGCTTTTCTCTGGCCATTACAAATAAATGGCCAGAGAATCGCTGCTGAACTTTGTGTATCTGCTTTATTTTTTATTAATGTGTTATTTTAGAGTAATCATGTCTTTGAAATACTGCATCAATTTTTATTTTTATTTAAAAATTTACTTAGTATTTTGTTGTTTGTTTTTGTCATTGTTAGTTTTTTTAAATGGTTATATAGTAAAAAAAAAAAAAAAAAAAATTAACATACATAAAGAATAAAACATCTGACGAATTTAATGAATAGATTAAAATAAAAAATATTAAAATAAATTAGAAACATACATTAAATCAATACAAACTTGATTAAAACCAACAAATAAAAACAGAAAATAAAAATAAATCCTAACTAAATGAATAAATAACTAAATAAATGTAAATAATTGACTAAAATATTTGTTTAAATATGTTTATATAGGAAAATAAAAATACAAACAAGATAAAAATAAATAATAAAACATTAAATAAAACTAATTGGATAAATAGATTAAAATGACTAAATGACATGATAACAAATAAATTAGATAATTAAAAAATAAAATCTAACTGAATAAAAATTAAAAAAATATATATATATATGTTTTTTATACATACTTTTTAAGTTTGTTATTTTAGTACACCAGGTTAAACTAAACTAGAATGAGAAACTAACAAACTGAATAAATAGAATAAAATACATTTTAAAAATGACTAAAATAAACACAAGACATTTAACATTAAATAAAAAAAAAAACAATAACCTTGACCAAAATAAACAAATAAAAATAGATAAATAATACAAATAAAATTTAACTAACTAAATAAAAAATATTTCAAATAAACAATTGACAAAAATATATTTTCTAAATGTCTATGTAGTTTTTTTATACATTGTTATGTCAGTTTTAGTTTATTTTAGTACACCATAAACTAAATGACAATAAGAATTGTTGCCTTGGCAAATAGTTGAAATACAATAAGTTTTTTTTATACTTTATTCTATTCCAAGTAACCTTTTTTTATTATTATGGATTTAGCTTTATTTAACTATAATACGTGACCCTGGAGCACAAAAGCAGTGTTAAGTCGCTGGGGTATATTTGTAGCAATAGCCAACAATACATTGTATGGGTCAAAATTATTGATTTTTCTTTTATGCCAAAAATCATTAGGATATTAAGTAAAGAACATGTTCCATGAAGATATTTTGTAAATTTCCTACCGTAAATATATCAAAACTTAATTTTTGATTAGTAATATGCATTGCTAAGAACTTCATTTGAACAACTTTAAAGATGATTTTCTCAATATTTAGATTTTTTTGCACCCTCAGATTCCAGATTTTCAAATAGTTGTATCTCAGCCAAATATTGTCCGATCCTAACAAACCATACATCAATGGAAAGCTTATTTATTCAGGTCTGTCACGTCAGATCCACAACAGCATATCAGTAATTATCAGTGTGTCATTTCTGCTGCGGCGTGACACACTCACTCACACTCACCCACACACTCACTCTCACACACACACTCACACTCACACTCACACTCTCAAACTCTCACACACACACACTCTTCACTCACACTCACTCACACTCTCCACTCTCACACACACTTCACTCACACTCTCCACTCACACACACACACTCACAAACTCACTCACACTCACACTCACACACACACACACTCGTGTGTGTGAGTGTGTGAGAGAGTGTGTGTGTGTGAGTGTGTGTGTGTGTGTGTGTGTGTGTGAGAAAGTGTGTGTGTGTGAGTGTGTGTGTGTGTGTGCATGCTCTAAACACAACAAACCTACTGACACAGCAAACACACACACACTCGCTTCATCTTACATAATCAGGCTGTGTGATGTCCCGTGCAGGTTTTAAAGCTACACACCCACTAAAATGCATTGAAACCATCAGAATCTCCATGCAAAACTTGTTTAGAGTAACTGACATATAATCAGACTGAATCAGACATTTATCTTAAACCAGGTCACTGCATGACACTTTTATTCAGTTTAATGTCGTATATATTCATCTGCAATGCATAAAGTGCATTTAAAGTGCTTCAGTCTAGAAATGATATGATTGTAGATCAGACACTTGAATGTGGCGTGATTCACATCGGTGTTACATATTAATACACAGATTACAAGGCATATGAGGCAGTTAGAGGTTCATACTGTGTTAGTAAATCAATAAATCGATCAACAAACAAAACAAAACAATAACGGTTTTCAATATATTACAATATGCAATATTATCAGACACTGCGTATTTATTTCCATATGTCACGTGGGTTAGGAGGAGTTTGAGTGTTTATATTATTATTAGTCAATACGAACGACGTGTTTTTAAAGATCTGAGATCAGAAATTCACAATAAATGCAACCGTATGCAAGTTACGATGATGTTTATATTGCATTTAACGTTAATAACGTGTTTTGTACAGATCTGGGATCAGACATTCTTGTTAAACTCTCATAGCCTCTGTCTAAGGATACGAATGGGATAAAATGTGAATAATATATAAAAATAAAGATGAAATAAAGTGTTTGTGCTGATGTGAGATCAGACGGTTATCAGACGTCCACATTAAACTCTGTCTGTGTATTAGCCGTCAAGCTAACAATTAGCGCTCCTCAAAACACACCATTAAACGACTTTAAAAACTCCCTCAGTGGGTAAAATAAGACTTAAAACGGGTCAGACACTAACCTTCTCGCTGTAGAGCCCCACCAGCTGCTTCATGCGCCAGTGAGGCCCGGTAAAAACATCCACCTCGTCGGGAAACGGAGCCATCGCGCCTCCATCAGCTCCCACCGCGGACTGAGCGCGAGAGGCCAGATCCTGCGGTTAAATCCCTCCTCGCAGACGAACAACAAAACAAAGTAATAAATAAATACAAATAAATTAAATAAAATCCCACCACACGGAAGATGGCAACAACAGCATAAACGAAATATCAAAATATGTGTAATATTAAAAATAAACATCCTCCTCTGACTCTCTGAGAAATTAGTGCTGTCAAACGATTAATCGCGATTAATCGCATCCAAAATAAAAGTTTTTGTTTACATAATATGTGTATTGTGTATATTTATTATGTAAATACACACACATACAGTATTTTGAAAATATTTACATGTATATATTTATAGTCATATAATTTACATTATATATAAATATTTTAATATATAAACATAACATATTTTTCTTAAATATATACATGCATGTTATACATAATAAATATTCACAGTACACACACATATATAATGTAAACAAAAACTTTTATTTTGGATGCAATTAATCATGATTAATCGTTTTTTTATATATAATTTATTTTTCCTTTTAAATTTTTTTTTAAGTTTTAGTAATTCTTGTTGTTTTTGTCATTTTTAGTAGTTCTCTTTTATGTGTGCGTGTGTGTGTTTATAGTTTATTCGTTTTTATTTTAGTTTTAGTTATTTTAGTACAAGAAGCTAAACTAAATGAAAATGAGAAATGTTGCCTTGAAATAAAGCTTTATTATTTATGGTTTTAGCTGTCGTTTTAGTGAACTATAATAACCCTGAAACGTATTAGAACAGTGATGCAATGTAAACATAACCCTCCACAACACACAAACAATATACATTAACAAAAAAAAAAAACACAGAAATAATATTTAAAAGAAAGTAAAAAAAATCTTTATGGCTACCTGTGCCATAATATATTTATTCATAAATTGTTACAATGCAAAGCATTGTTTTTGTTGTTATTATTTAAAAATGGCGTGTATTAACAATTTTAAATTGTATTATCAACAAATGAACACTGAATGAAATTTAATGTTTCTACACAAAACAGGAAGATCACAAAAAACACATTTCAGCGACAGCCGTCGAAATATTGACGAATGTGTCTCTCGTATCTATTGGGTTTAATGTGATAAGCGACTCCAAAAGCACTTGGCAACCCGAATTACGCCATTACGTCCAAGTGCGCAGTGACGTGTTCAAGACGAACAAACGACCTGTAAAAACACATGCATGCGCGCCATTAAATAACGCATAAATGCATACAAACATGTCATTAAATAACGGGTGTATGCATATAGACAACAATAGTAAAGACACATTAAATGTTACTTTTTTCGTTTAATTTCCATTATTACAGTATAAACTGACTGTAAATGTAGCACAGTGTATTAAACTGAACGAGAAAATAGAAAAGAGAGAATTTTAGACTTTATTGACTGCAGCAAAATCATGATTATTCATCTTTAAAGTAATAGAAAAGGTGCAAGTAAAAAAAACAAAAAAAAACACAAAGTTATATTAAACCTCTCACCTTACAAACATATGGTTATATTGCATGAATAAACAGGTATGGAATTCAATTTTATTTCAGATGCACCAGAGAAACCAAACATTAACTTCACCAAAAACCTGCCAGACGATGATCAGAGTACAAATATCGAATCAACAATCAAAAACAAATAAAGGAATGACAAGCCATTAAAACGTTTGCCTTCACACAACGCTAAAGTGTTTATGGACTCGATATGTGTGCTTTTAGTGTTTGAGCACTACAACCGTTCAGCATTTTGAGTTTCGGTTTGCTTGTACACCTCTGAAAGAAGGTCTTCATTGCAGAAATTAGTCAGAAATAAAAGATAAATCAGCAAACTACATCTGATTTGTGTGTTCTCACTAATTACGATCTTAGTTCTGTGCATGTTGGCACCTCACCGAATCCCTCTGCTGCTAAACATCACATTTATTAAACATTCTTATAGGAAATCCTGATATTTCAGTCCAGTCAGATTGAGGAAATAGTAGAAACGTCCTGCTGATTTCTTCATTTGAGCGCAGCAGTGTGTCCTCCACACCAGAGGAGGCGCTGTCACGCTTTAGCTGTTATCCTGCAGCATCTCCTCAATCTCACGGTCCCAGTTATCGTCGCGATTTTCTGGGTCGACGACCACCTCGTACTCCTGAAGCTCCTGCTGCAGCTCCTTCTCCCAGTCGGCCGTCTCTTCTATCAGAGAACGAATGGGGAAAACAAGAGAAATATTTAAGACTTTTTCTTGGAGAGCAGGATTTCGAAATAGAGAGGTCTTAAAGGTCAAATAATTTAAAATAAAATAATACAATACAATAAACATCTTCCTCTGGGGAAGAAAAAAAATCTTTAAAAGTCTCAGCAAAAAGAAAAATCATTATGGCATATACAAAATCGTTAAAAAAAGTGAAAAAAATTAATTAAAAATTATTATAAAAATGGCTTAAATCTCCTTTGTCTTTCCCCCTTTTTCTTGTTAATAATAATAATAATAATAAGTTTAATTTATATAGCACCTTTCCCAGGCTCAAGGACACTGCACAATGACAGAAGCAAATACATTCCTACATACATGGACAAGACATTTTCCAAGTCCAGAACATGTGGTTGCAGTTGTATACCACAGTAATAATACAGTATCATAATCAAAAGCACCAAAACAATTTAATTGGACTCTTGTTTCATCTCTTAGACTTACAAATAACAAAAAGTGCCAAACTTTTGATGCATTATGACAACTTTTCTAAAAGAATGCAAGTTTATTTTTGCAGTTTTATGTATCGATAATACTTAATTTGACTTATATTAATTTGAATATATTCATGTCTCGCTTCCCTGTTTCTGTATGCTTCTACAAGTTTTGTAATAAAAATAAAAAAAACGCATACGAGCCATTAAATAAGGCACAAATATGTCATTAAATAACGTGCATGTGCATGTAGAACGACATTAAAAACACAAACGTCATAAAAACGTTTCTTTTATTAACTGCATTATTATAGCATGTAGCACAGAGTATTAAACTAAAGGAGAAACCAGAAAAGAGAGGATTTTAGACTTTATTTACTGCAACGAAATCATCTTTAAAGTAATAAGACAAGGTGCAAGTTGAAAAAACACAAAGTTATATTACACCTCTCACCTTACAAACATGTATACACTGAATGAATAAACAGCTATGGAATTCAATTTGATTTCATCTTCACCAAAACCTGCCAGACGATGATCAGAGCACAAATATCAAACCGGCAATCAAAAACCGATAAAGGAATGAGAAGCCGTTAAAACATTTGCCTTCACACGAGTTTATGTGCGCTTATAAGTGTTGGAGCGCTACAACCGTTCAGCTTTTTGAGTTTCGGTTTGCTTGTACACCTCTGAAAGAAGGTCTTCATTGCAGAAATTAGTCAGAAATAAAAGATAAATCAGCAAACTACATCTGATTTGTGTGTTCTCACTAATTACGATCTTAGTTCTGTGCATGTTGGCACCTCACCGAATCCCTCTGCTGCTAAACATCACATTTATTAAACATTCTTATAGGAAATCCTGATATTTCAGTCCAGTCAGATTGAGGAAATAGTAGAAACGTCCTGCTGATTTCTTCATTTGAGCGCAGCAGTGTGTCCTCCACACCAGAGGAGGCGCTGTCACGCTTTAGCTGTTCTCCTGCAGCATCTCCTCAATCTCACGGTCCCAGTTATCGTCGCGATTTTCTGGGTCGACGACCACCTCGTACTCCTGAAGCTCCTGCTGCAGCTCCTTCTCCCAGTCGGCCGTCTCTTCTATCAGAGAACGAATGGGGAAAACAAGAGAAATATTTAAGACTTTTTCTTGGAGAGCAGGATTTCGAAATAGAGAGGTCTTAAAGGTCAAATAATTTAAAATAAAATAATACAATACAATAAACATCTTCCTCTGGGGAAGAAAAAAAATCTTTAAAAGTCTCAGCAAAAAGAAAAATCATTATGGCATATACAAAATCGTTAAAAAAAGTGAAAAAAATTAATTAAAAATTATTATGCAATAAGACAAATAATTACAAAGGAGTGTTACAATGCAAAACATTAATAGTATTAGTATTTAAAAAGTGGCATATATAAACATCCTTTCAGCATTAAAAAAATTTAATCATTTCAGCTATTTCTATTTTTTTAAATAAATTTTAAAAAATGTGTTTAAATTAAAGTACTTCAATAACTAAAACTAAATGAACTAAAATTTAACATTTTAATTTAATAAAAAAATTATATAGACATAAAAAAAAGAATAAAAATGACAAAAACCCAATATAATTTTTATAACGTTAACAGCTATTTCAATTTTTTAAAATAAATTTTAAAATTTTTTTGTTTAAATTAAAGTACTTCAATAACTAAAACTAAATAAACTAAAATTAAACATTTTAATTTAATAAAAAATTATATAGACGTATAAAAAAACGAATAAAAATGACAAAAACACAATATAATTTTTATAACGTTAACCTAAACAAAAATGAAAACAAAATCTAATTCAAAATATTAACAAACAATATAGCAGTATATCACAGGGCTCGAAACTGGACTGTTTTGGTCACATATGCTTCCAAAATATATTTGGGAGCATTTGTGCGAGTGCAAATAATTGTTGTGGTGCGACCGGTCTTCATTTGGTTATATTAGTCGTCAATCACTCACTTTCACTGCATTGCAGAAGCCAGAGACACTGAAGGCGGACGCAAAGAGAAGAAAATACTGCAGCTGCGAAACAAGCTCACTGTTCACTATGTGTGAAATATAGAAATTTAATTGGGAAAGGACACTGCACAATGACAGAAGCAAATACATTCCTACATACATGGACAAGACATTTTCCAAGTCCAGAACATGTGGTTGCAGTTGTATACCACAGTAATAATACAGTATCATAATCAAAAGCACCAAAACAATTTAATTGGACTCTTGTTTCATCTCTTAGACTTACAAATAACAAAAAGTGCCAAACTTTTGATGCATTATGACAACTTTTCTAAAAGAATGCAAGTTTATTTTTGCAGTTTTATGTATCGATAATACTTAATTTGACTTATATTAATTTGAATATATTCATGTCTCGCTTCCCTGTTTCTGTATGCTTCTACAAGTTTTGTAATAAAAATAAAAAAAACGCATACGAGCCATTAAATAAGGCACAAATATGTCATTAAATAACGTGCATGTGCATGTAGAACGACATTAAAAACACAAACGTCATAAAAACGTTTCTTTTATTAACTGCATTATTATAGCATGTAGCACAGAGTATTAAACTAAAGGAGAAACCAGAAAAGAGAGGATTTTAGACTTTATTTACTGCAACGAAATCATCTTTAAAGTAATAAGACAAGGTGCAAGTTGAAAAAACACAAAGTTATATTACACCTCTCACCTTACAAACATGTATACACTGAATGAATAAACAGCTATGGAATTCAATTTGATTTCATCTTCACCAAAACCTGCCAGACGATGATCAGAGCACAAATATCAAACCGGCAATCAAAAACCGATAAAGGAATGAGAAGCCGTTAAAACATTTGCCTTCACACGAGTTTATGTGCGCTTATAAGTGTTGGAGCGCTACAACCGTTCAGCTTTTTGAGTTTCGGTTTGCTTGTACACCTCTGAAAGAAGGTCTTCATTGCAGAAATTAGTCAGAAATAAAAGATAAATCAGCAAACTACATCTGATTTGTGTGTTCTCACTAATTACGATCTTAGTTCTGTGCATGTTGGCACCTCACCGAATCCCTCTGCTGCTAAACATCACATTTATTAAACATTCTTATAGGAAATCCTGATATTTCAGTCCAGTCAGATTGAGGAAATAGTAGAAACGTCCTGCTGATTTCTTCATTTGAGCGCAGCAGTGTGTCCTCCACACCAGAGGAGGCGCTGTCACGCTTTAGCTGTTATCCTGCAGCATCTCCTCAATCTCACGGTCCCAGTTATCGTCGCGATTTTCTGGGTCGACGACCACCTCGTACTCCTGAAGCTCCTGCTGCAGCTCCTTCTCCCAGTCGGCCGTCTCTTCTATCAGAGAACGAATGGGGAAAACAAGAGAAATATTTAAGACTTTTTCTTGGAGAGCAGGATTTCGAAATAGAGAGGTCTTAAAGGTCAAATAATTTAAAATAAAATAATACAATACAATAAACATCTTCCTCTGGGGAAGAAAAAAAATCTTTAAAAGTCTCAGCAAAAAGAAAAATCATTATGGCATATACAAGATCGTTAAAAAAAGTGAAAAAAATTAATTAAAAATTATTATGCAATAAGACAAATAATTACAAAGGAGTGTTACAATGCAAAACATTAATAGTATTAGTATTTAAAAAGTGGCATATATAAACATCCTTTCAGCATTAAAAAAATTTAATCATTTCAGCTATTTCTATTTTTTTAAATAAATTTTTAAAAATGTGTTTAAATTAAAGTACTTCAATAACTAAAACTAAATGAACTAAAATTTAACATTTTAATTTAATAAAAAAATTATATAGACATAAAAAAAAGAATAAAAATGACAAAAACCCAATATAATTTTTATAACGTTAACAGCTATTTCAATTTTTTAAAATAAATTTTAAAATTTTTTTGTTTAAATTAAAGTACTTCAATAACTAAAACTAAATGAACTAAAATTTAACATTTTAATTTAATAAAAAAATTATATAGACATAAAAAAAAGAATAAAAATGACAAAAACCCAATATAATTTTTATAACGTTAACAGCTATTTCAATTTTTTAAAATAAATTTTAAAATTTTTTTGTTTAAATTAAAGTACTTCAATAACTAAAACTAAATAAACTAAAATTAAACATTTTAATTTAATAAAAAATTATATAGAAAACGAATAAAACGAATAAAAATGACAAAAACACAATATAATTTTTATAACGTTAACCTAAACAAAAATATCTAATTCATCTAATTCAAAATATTAACAAACAATATAGCAGTATATCACAGGGCTCGAAACTGGACTGTTTTGGTCACATATGCTTCCAAAATATATTTGGGAGCATTTGTGCGAGTGCAAATAATTGTTGTGGTGCGACCGGTCTTCATTTGGTTATATTAGTCGTCAATCACTCACTTTCACTGCATTGCAGAAGCCAGAGACACTGAAGGCGGACGCAAAGAGAAGAAAATACTGCAGCTGCGAAACAAGCTCACTGTTCACTATGTGTGAAATATAGAAATTTAATTGGGAGTGGGGGTTTATATGAATGGATTTCTGAGGGGAACTGATTGTCTTGAGAAGTTTAAATGACATTTTCTAATCTAAACAAATCAGTGCAGCGCTGCTGTGTTTACAGCGGTAAGCAAGGAAACGCTATAATGCTGTTCCATAAGCGCCACCTGCTGTCAGAGAGTGAATTTGCATCTTATTCATTAACTAACTGCTTGATTTTTACTGTACATTTCTGCTAGGGATGCACCGATACCTATACATATCGGACCCGATACTGAGCTCCTGTATTCGTACTCGTTAAAATGCCCCGATACCAAACGCCGATACCACACAGCATGTGATAAGTGCCATATTCAGACAAAGAAACACTGACAACAGAACAACAGACAGCAGAATGGAGTTATTAGAGATTAAGGATGTCTACGAAGTATATGTATACAATTAGCAATGTTAAACATTCAGTATTAACACCCTGCATTATTACAGCAAAACACGTGATTGCAGTACTGAGCCGCTGCAATGGAGCAGCTCTAATGCTATTAAACTAAAGATGATGTACCACAGAGCAAAAAAATTAACAGTGAAAGTAACTAAAACTTGTAAAATACATTTTAATGGGCATAAATTAAGTTTGAAAATAACTGAAGGATATATCTATATGATAAATGAAGTTAACCAACTAACATATAACTATACATATTCTTTTGGTTTCTGTACCCAATATTTAAAAAATTTACAAATACAATGAAAACACCAGTATCGGTACTCGGTATCGGCAAGTACCAAAAATAAAAGTATCGGTATCGGCCGAGTACTGGAAAAAGTGGTCTCGGTGCATCCCTAATTTCTGCCGTATGGACATCAACTTGAGATAGTCAACACTGATAAGCTATTACTAAATATAATGTAGAAACTTGAATTTTCTGTAAAGCTGCTTTGCAACGATTTGCATCGTGAAAAGTGCTATACAAATAAACTTGAATTGAATTCAGCCGCCTGCTGTTTTTGTTTCGTGCAGCTGTTTTATGTAGCATAAATTCACAAAGCTAAAGTCAGAGCATTCGGTTTTTGCTTCAGATTTTGAAATAATACATTCTAATGTACTTCTGAAACCGCTCATGTATGCAGCATCTTCGTTTGGATCAGGATTAAAATGCTGTGGTTGTCTCGGACTGTCCCGCTTTTAATGTACAGTATGTAGAAAACTCTTTTATGAAGTGAACTCACTTAAAGAGTTATTTAGTATAATTTTGCCAGGAAATATTTTTGAATTTTTAGCATATGTTAATGTAAAAAATCTTGTGTAATTTAACTTGTTTGTTTGCTGGTTTTTATTGTATTTGTTTTACTTGTATTTTTTAAATAGTTTTGGCCATGAAAATAGCCTAAGATGCTGACATAGCGTTAAATAAAAATATATTACTACTACTGTGGTTGTCTCTAATTTTAAATGACATCTTATTAATGTACTCAGATTTTTAAAAAATTTCTTGTCTCTTGCTTAAAAAAAAGAAAGAAAATAAATATTTTAAAGATTGGCTATCAGAATCAGCTTACTCGCTTCTAAAACATCAGCAATCAGAATTGGCCATGAAACATCGATGCATTACTAACAAGAAACAAAGAATTCAGGATCAGGTTCAATTGTTGAAGCTTTTAATCATCAGGATGTTCCTCTCAACTGGCAGCTGCGATGCTCCTTAATATTCAGTGGGTGCTCCTACATTTTTGTTGGCGCTCGGCTCCTAACTTCTTGAAGCATCAATGCTACAAGTAAAAAAGTTCATTTCGAGCCCTGTATCAATGATACTAGAATAGCGTGGGGGAAACAACCAAAATATTTAAGGCTTTTTCTTAGGAAGCAGGATTTTGAAATAGAGAAGTCTTAATAAAATAAAACGAAATGAAAAAAAAAAAAATATATATATGGACAGCAGGATTTTGAACCAGGTGCATGTTAAAGCTACAGCAGGCTGTATAACAGTGGTCAAACTCACCATCTTTCTTATCCAGCACCAGCTGCTCCATCTCTTTTCTCAGATCCTCCTGATTTATGTCGCAGGTGTCGAACGCGTCGCTCACAAACTCCGACACGCCGGGGCTGGTGGAGATGTCCTCCTCCTCCTGCTAGCACAGAGAACAGAGGCGCTTAGGTTTTACTTTATATTATTTAGTTGTTGCAGATGCTCTACATACAGGCTTCTAGCCAATGGCTATTTTGCAGCCCCAGTCCCTGGTTAGGCTTTTAAAACACAATTAAAAAATACATAAAGAATGTAAAGTAACAAGTACAGCAAACATAATAAAAATCCAAGAACCATCAATGCTCACAAACCTGTTTTTGTTTGAACCATTTTTTTAATATTTCTCAGAAAGATGTTCCAACTCTGAACATGTTCCAGAAAACTGTTCCAGAGCAGTGTCCCTTTTAACCTTTAACTCGTTTTTCTCTTAGGCACTATACAGCTCTGTGTAGTTGCACCTCTTGTAGTGATCCTTCTACTATTCTGTTTTACTATTAATTGACACATAATATCTGGAGCAAGCTTATACCGACACATTTAAAAACCATTTTAATAAGAAACAGATTCATAAACTTGTCAAAACTAAGCAAACTGTATTTTTGTAAATTGTTACAATGATGCCATCTAATTGATTTCTTGTCTAAAATGTTTAAGGTTTGATTATATAGGGATCTAACAGGTTTAATAGTCAATTGAGAGACCTGACTCCAAACAATCACACAATAAGACATATGTGAGAAGACCGTTGCATGCATATATAACTTAGCTGCTCTAAGTGATAGATACGGTCTAATCGTATAAAAGCAATTCAGGTTTGTTGTGATGGTTTTACAAAGCCTCTATACATGCACATCGAATTTTAACTGAGAATCCAAAATAACACCTAAAAATTTAAAATCAATAGCTGTTTCTATTGCCTTAAGGTCGATCATAATTGTAACTTCTGACTGAGAAACACATTGAAACAGTTTCTGAAAAATTCAAAGTCAAGCAAATGGTCAAGACGCTACCTCGTTGCTCTTGGCTTTAGCGCTGATGGCCACAGGCGGTGTTTTCGGTCTGATGGTCTCTGTGAGCAGGAAAATACATGTTTATTTCCTTTTCCGAGAGTCTAAACAATGACTTTACTATTTACGACGAGTGTCAAAATCTATCCACAGCCTTATGAATGGATATCCAACAATTCATGATTTGAAATGAGTAAATATTGTGTAGATTTCAAATAAACTGCTATAGCTTTTTGTGTAAATTTCATTTCACAATTATATTGTATCAATGTTATGAGATTCTGTTATAGTTATTATTAATATTAAAATACATTTAATTCGTTTTTATGTTTACATTATCTTTACATTTTTAGTAATTTTGTTGTTTCTTGTCATTTTTAATAGCTTTTTTATAAGTCTACATAGTTTTTTTATTTAATTTTAGTTATTTTTTTAAAGTTAATTCATTTTGTTGCAGGGTTATTATTGCTAACTAAAACTAAACCATAAAAAAATAAAAAAGAATTCATGACTTTCAAAAAATGAAAATAAAAAAATATTTTATTTTTATTTTATTTATTGCCAAGGCAATATTTCTCATTTTCTTTTAGTATTAAGTAGTAAAATAACTAAAAAGTAATAAACCAAAACGTAATAAAAATATAGACATATTGGGAAAAAATTATTTAAAAAAATTGACAAAAACCAACACAACAAAATTAATAAAACATTAGCTAAAATTAGATTGAAAACAGAAAATATTAAAATAACATCTATTTCAAAATATTAACAAAAACAATATTAGTAATACTGATGATACTAAAACAACACTGTCTTTTGTATTTTAGTTTTTTTTTTTTAATGTCTACATATTTTTTATTCATTAATATTTCAGTTTTAGTTTATTTTAGTATATTAAGCTTCATTAAATGAAAATGAGAGTATTTAAAGTAAGTTCAAGTTTATTTTAGATTTTATTTTCAGTGAATGTTTACAGTAAAGTAATGAAAATGTTTTTTAGTGCTTTTAATTATCTATAATAACCCTGAATTGTGAAGTATTATGTTTTTACAGGAATTCTATCAGCCTTCTCTAAACTCTTCCTGCAGTGAGTGAATAAACACCTGAGATGTTCTCGTTCAGCGGCGGCGCTGCGTTCTTCTCCTCTTCTCTCTTTTCGGCCGCCTGTTGTTGAGCCGCGAGAGCCGTGAGCTGAGCCGACTGCTTGATCAGAGACACGCGGTAGAAATAATTCCTCCAGAACACGTCCTCCTTCACCCTGACACACACACACACACACACACACACACACACACACACACTCAGACTCAGACTCGTCTGCTCTCACAGTTCAGGCATGAATAAACAGGGCATTAACGGAGCCGACTCTCACTGTTTGGGGACGAGGTCAAAGCGCATCCTGTTGAGCAGCTCGTCTTCCTGCAGCATCACCAGAGCCACGGCGTACATCTGCTCAAAGTCGAACTGGAACTGCACTCCGGCCGGAGGGTCGCGCAGGAAGTTCCTCTTGTCCTGAACGACAAAAAAATAAAAATCAGTCATGCAGTTTTGGTTTAAACTTTAAAGTGATCTGAGGGTAGGGCTGCAACAACTAATCGATAAAATCAATTATTATCAATAATGAAAATAATCGACAACGATTCTCATTATCCATTAGTCGGGTCTGCCCGGTTTGTGCCACTGCTGCTCTAAACTAACAGCACTGGTGATTACCAAAATCATTTTCTAGCTTTCTGTATTAGTTAGTCCTCCAATCTGTGTAAGCTCTGTAGTAACAGTAGTAGTCTATTTCTAACGCTATAATATGATTATTGCTGTTGTCTATGAAAGAAAGGCAGAAAAAATAGCCAAGCACTTTATAGTGTTTTTCCAGATGTCCAATTATAGTCAAAAAGTACCTAAACAATGCCAGCAAGCATGCAAGCTGTTATGAAAGATTTTTGTTATTATGTGAATAAATACTATTTGTTTCAGTTTGTTATTTGCCCAATAAATGACTATAACATTTTTAGATTTAAACCGTTTTTTGACAGATTCCTAAAATAATTGTGTTTTCTCTTTATTATGACAGGTGGTCTAATAAATTAAGCACTGTATGTTTTCATAGTGTACTAATTTAGTGTACTAATCATTTAAATATAGAGTAAAGCTCACAGCGGATAAAGCGAGTATCTGCTGCTGAATGGTTTCCTCCTCGTTGTATCCGACCCAGGGCGGCACCGCGGCGTCTGTGGATAAAAGATTGAGAAAATACATAAATGCATAAAAAGATTTTGCTTTAACATAGCTGTACAAAGTCACAGATGCATGCATTTATGTCCATACCTGTTTTCCTTGCATTTTTCTCCTGGACAAATTTTTCTTGCTCCTTCTGAAAATCTCCCAAAATGGTCTGACAGAGAATCGAGTCAGAGATGCAACAAGCTCATATTTATTGGTCTGAATCAGGGTTATTATCCTTAACTGGAACTAATACATAAATAAATAAATAATTGAAATAAAATAAACTTGAACTGAAATGTGTGTTGTGTTGTCTTATCTAGCTGCTAAGGCAGTAATGAAGTTGTAGTCCTAAAATAACTAGAAGTAATTCATAAAAATAATAAATATGGACATCTAAAAACAAACAGTCACAAAATTACTAAACTTTTAACTAACATTAATGTAAAATCTAAATCTGTATTACTAAAACTAACAAATTAAAATAAAAGTATAAAAATAAAAAAGTGAATAAACTTTAAATAAACGTATGAATAAACTAAAAAAATGGAAAAACGCACAACAAAAATCACACTAAAATGAAAAAATAAAATATAAAAATAAAAAGTAATTACAAAATATTAATAAAAGTATATAGACATAGTGACAAAAAAAACACACACACACAACAAAATTACTAAAAGTTACAAAATATTAACAAAAATATATAAAAGTAAATCAATGATACTAAAATAACACTGGGCAGGATTTAGTCCTTAATTTTAAAATCAAAGTACAATGCTTTTCATCCAGACAGTGACTAACATAAACTTCATCAATGATAAACATTTTACATTTTTTAATTCAAGTTCATTTTATTACATTTAAAAATGTTAAAAAAATAATTAAAAATTAAAATAAAAAACTTGAAGTGTTTTTTTTTTTTTTGTATTAATGGCAATGACACAAGATTAATAGTCACTCTTAAATTTAACATGAAAAATCTAAGGTTTAGTTATAAGTTGTATAATAAAGTTATACTTTTTTTTTTTTTTTTAAATCACACAATAAAAATTATACAGTTCATCATACAGTTTTATTTTTAAAAATTACATTTCTAAGCACATTCCTTTAGTATTTCAAACAAAACTGTTCTATTTCACCATCTTGGGCAATGTATTAGTCCTGAAAACAAACTCATCTCTCTGTGATGTACCTTGTCGATGATGCCGTCGATGTTGCTCTCCTCCACCGTTTTCTTGATAGTTTGAGCCGTCTCCGCCACAGACTCCGAGATCTTCTTACTGGCACTACTTGCAAAGTTCAGAATGAAGCCTGACAGAGAAGAGAGTATAAAAAACACATTAAACTCTGCATAAAACACACACAGGACAAGACGGTCGATTGCATTTCTTCTAGCAAACATCAGACTCAGAACCAAACTCATGTTTACAATTCCTGAAAATAAAAAGCCCTCATGCACATGCACACACA